ATTTCTAAAGCATTTACTCTACACCTGGTGGTTTTAACACGCACTAAAGATATGGTATGTTATTTATTTCTAAAGCATTTACTCTACACCTGGTGGTTTTAACACGCACTAAAGATATGGTATGTTATTTTGGGGTGAGTAGACTCGTTTCTGTCATGGAGGAGTCAAAACTAAATGAATAATGAATATCATCATAGTTGGACAAAAATTAAATATCATATTTCACATTTTATACACTACCGTAAAGTTATGTACGTGTAGCCCAAAACTGTGTGATGTTCGACTTCTTATTGGATATAAAGGAAATTATCTTATACTTCCAAACTGTCATCATTTTTGTCACGTGACGTACCAACTAACCAGTAATATCTCGTATTTACAAGTGCTCGTGAATGATAATTATAGCTAAGCCTACTTACAATCTGAGTGATATAGTTAAATCCGGTTGGATTAGAAAAAGGATTATTGTCACGTGACTTGCCAACTAACCAGTAATATCTCGTATTTACAAGTGCTCGTGAATGATAATTATATCTAAGCCTACTTACAATCTGACTGATATAGTTGGTTAATCATAACAACTCTCAGGGGTAAGGATAATCGATGACTCTTTGATGTTTCATTTAACAAAATAGTCGACCTACGTAACTAGTTGATAAAACTCTAAAGTATAACGTTCTCAAGTATAAGGTTATCTGTTCTGGCCTTTGGTGGTTTTTATCTTTACTTAGAGTTTCGATTGATATTTAAGTATAAGGTTATCTGTTCGGGCCTTTGGTGGTTTTTATCTTTACTCAGAGTTTCGATTGATATTTAGAGCAACTTTCTTTATAAAACAATTTATAATTTTATTCAAAAACAAATAACTGTGTATTGTATCCAAGTAACGAACTGGCCCACGAACCTGTGTAGTGTTATTCCGTTAGAATCATTGATAATTTGTCACGTATGACTAGCACATAGAATATGTTACTGACGGTGACTTGGGTCGTCTTATCTTATCGACTGTTTATATTATAAGGAGAAAAAACGTTTTTATCAAACGTAAAGTGAATTCTTCATCTTGTGTCGTTTTAATCAGACTCAATGACAAAATAACTACACGTACTTTTTCAACAGCGTGTGTTTTAGTATTAAAGTGAATAACAGGACATGTTAGAAGGAAAGAATATGACAGAATTATTTTTATCTTTCCGTTTTTTTTTACTTCTTTCTTCCTCGCTGATTGTGCACGTGCATCATCAAACAGGAAGTTTAGTAATATTACGTAGTTCTGATAAACGTTACCTTGTTTTTAAACAACGTTTGTTACATTTACCGACAACAAGTTTGAATGAAACAACAGTCTGATCTTCAGAAGATCCCATTTCTGTCTAACAATGTTTCTCGTCTGGTTTCTCGTTCTTCCGTTTGTTTGTTTATCTAGTGTCAAGGTGAAAGTTTCTGAAAACCAGTGCCCTCAGCTGAAGAACTGTACATGTCAGTACCAAGGTCAGTTTTTAACTGTTAATTGTACTGGCATATCTGACACGTCACAGTTGACTAGTGTGCTACACGAAGACCTGAAAAAACAAACGTTTAACGATGTTTACATCAACTGGTCTAATATATCTCACATTCCCACATCTCTTTTCGCCAACCTGACAATACAGAAGATTATATTGCAACATGTGGATGTGAAGACCATTGATCCAGACGCTTTTGAAACCGTTCAATATCTTTTAGAATTTAAATTAAACTATGTTAAAATAGAATCCATACCCAGAGCAATTTCTAACGTAGGAATGAGACTTCGACGGCTGTGGATGGAACATGGAGAAATCAAGGAGATCAAATCTGAGTTTCAAAACTTTATAATCTTAGAGAAATTATATTTAAAAGCAAACAAAATCGCATCTATTCATAAAAATGCGTTTGATTCCCTTACGAAACTGCATATTCTCGATCTTTCCGAAAACCTGATCAAGTTTCTGGACCCAGAAATGCATCAACTAAAAGAGTTGTTTCTGGGAAACAGTTCTTTGATGTATGGTGACGGATTGTTGGATAACATGGTCAACATTGAGGTAAGTTGAAAGTAATTGTTTTGTAGATTAATTTATATGGAATCATAAAATTACAGTATATCTTGAATCTTGTGTGTTAGAATAAAGTATTTAGTAATATTTCAATTGGGGACTTAACGCTTTAGACAGTTGTTATTAAAGTTAAGCCTTTTAACTAAAGTCACACACTAACATAAATCATTTATAAACAAGATTATGACACTTATGATATAC